CCCCCTCCTGCCCCTCTCCTCCCTAGCTGTCTCCTTTCATCTCGCTCTCCCACACCTCTACCCTTCCCCCTCCTGCCTCTCTCCTGCCTGTCTCCTTTCATCTCGCTCTCCCTCCATCTCTGTCATGGCTTATTATGTCTGTGGGGTTAGTTTGTTTGACGTTCATCCTATTGCTCTCGTTATTAGTATTATTATTAGAGCGAGCTTATTAGTCCCTGCTCCCATTTTCGCGCATGTCCGATCGAAATTGCGCGTGTTAGCCTATATTTTACCGGTTATACCTATGCGCACATAATAATATACACGCACGCGTACATACAGCAACCACCGTGAACCACGTACGTATACGAACCTGCTTGTGTGTGTGTGTGTGCGTGTGCGTGTGCGTGTGCGGTGTGTTGTGTGTGTGTGTGTGTGTGTGTGTGTGTGTGTGTGTGTGTTGTGTGTGTTGTGTATGTTGTGTGTGTGTGTTGTGTGTGTTGTGTGTGGTGTGTGTTGTGTGTGTTGTGTGTACGTGGCCGTGACTGTGTTATTACGAGCGGGTACTAATCTAGGTGCAGTCTCGTGTATTTGTTGAGGTTCGCGCGTGCGGCGTCGAATCTGGGTTATTTCGATTCATAGAACCCGCAAACGCACGACAGAATGGAATCACGTCGTTACTGCGACCGCATATACATACATATAAACAAGAGCCAATAATACCTAATAATACCTAATAATACCAAGAGGTATTATTAGCTCTTGATATCAAGAGTACATAAGAGACAACATCTCTATTATGTACTCTTGATACATATAGATACCTCGAACCGATATCTCGCCTTCAGAAAGGGAATATCGGAATATGCGTTCAACGTGAGGGATCCACATAACAGGGAGAATGAAAAACAAGAATATCACGCAGGAGAGAGCGTCGGTGCGCGAGAGAGGTGGAAAGGAAAGAGAGAGAAAGAGAGAGAGAGAGAGAGAGAGAGAGAAAGAGAGAGAGAGAGAGAGAGAG